AGGCGGCTTTTGTGCGTGCGCTTTGTGTGTGTGTGTGTGAGCAGCACAGAAAACAGCACGCACGTGCAGAAGTGAGTTCTATTTCGTCTTCTTGCAGTTGAATCTTTTGAAATCACAATAAATGTGCATACAGGAATCGAGAAGCAGAATCAAAATTAAATTTTATAAGAAGTAATTCGATTCCTGATCTTACGCATCTACTGTCACAATACACTTTAGAGGAACGAGGAGACGCTGGAGAATACTTTCACAAGACTTTAATTCCATGAACCAAGGCAGACGAACACAGGAAGACGTTTAACAGCGGAGAGAGAACTAGGGACTGGGAACACTTTAAATACACACAGGAGGAGGGGATGACGAGACACACCTGGGAGCAATGAAACATCAAAGGAAACACCTGGGACAAATGAACTTAAATCAGGACAGGAACAGGAAACTAACCAAATAAGGGCATAGGAAGGCACATGGGGAGCAAGACACACACAAAACATGGAACAGAGTCTGACAGCTATGATTGACTATATGTTCCTGTTGGATAGATAATTAGTGCTAATGTTTTGACTCAGAATCAGGATAAAATATTGTCTTCACAATCATTCATACATGTGAAAATGGGCTGTGAATTGAGCAAATAGTTGAAATCTGGCTCAGAGGAAGACAGGAATGTCTTTGTGGCAGTTTTTCTACTGATTAAGAGAGAAAACAAGACGACTTCACCTTACAAATGGTTGTGAAAAGCAAAAAAATGCTATGAAATTCATCTTGTTTTGTGACAAAGTGTGACATGCTCGATCAAAACATCAGACACTTTTGGAATCAGCAGCCCAAAATTAGTCAAGAGGATTCCATTCAACAAATATGATGCAGGGCATTGTAATCATTTCTCATTTAATATCATATTTTTTAAATCTTTATTTATCCCATTGCAGTGAATTGCCTTTTCAGAGAAGAATACATGTCTTAAAGAAATAGTTCATCCAAAAATGTTCTTAAAATATTCCCCCTCAGGCCATTCAAGATGTAGATGAGTTAATGGGAACAGATTTGGAGAAATGTAGCATTACATCACTTGCCAGTGGATCCTCTGCAGTGAATGGGTGCCGTCAGAATGACATACATATTTGTTTAGAACTGTTTTGGACTGTTTTTCATGACTTTTTCCCTGGAGAAAGCAGTATTACTTGTGGATTACTGTGATGTTTTTATCAGCTGTTTGGACTCTCATTCTGACGGCACCCATTCACTGCAGAGGATCCATTAGTGAGCAAGTGATGTAATGCTACATTTCTCCAAATCTTTTCCCATGAACAAACAAACTCATCTACATCTTGGATGGCCTGAGGGGGAGTAGATTGTCAGCAAATGTTAATTTTTGGTGAGTCATTCCATTAACTCTATTCTCTGAGTAGAGCTGACTTGTTTTTCTTGACATAATGTTGCTGGACGTCACTGAGGTTTTGTCAGATTTACTTTAGGGGTCAGTTTTAGCTCACACACATTTAATGGCTTTTGATCTAGTCAGCAAACAACTGAAGAATGACAGAGGAACTGAAGTTTTTATCTCTCATCACACAAAAGAATATTTTTTTCATATTAAACAGATGAGCTCGTTTCATCATTTTGATTTGTGAAGTGATGGCGTTTAATCTCTCGCTAATATTTATTCGGCGGATCCGGTGTGTTTGGGTGGTGAGCGGGCCAGTCTTTCTTCTGAGAGACTAATGGATGGAAAACAGGAAAGATGAGTAGAAAAGAAGTGTCATTAAGAACAATAAAGAGAAGGAGATGTCATTTATGAGGGGAAATAGAAAGAGAGAGATGATAACAGAAGCGATAGAAGAACTTCTTAGGTGGATAATTTTTTGAATACTCTCTTTCTAATATGATTTACATGTTAATAAAACCAGTTGCTCATGGCTATAATATACCTACTGTCTGAAATCATCAAATAATTTACTGGAGATATAGAGAAATGCTAAACCACATCTAGATATATTAATAATGAATGAGAGACTGAGAAAATATCAAGTGTGAAATAGAGAGACTTAAATTAAAAAAGGAAAATGTTAGAGACTATGAAAAAAATGGTAGGAAAGTGAATGCAAATATATTTAATATATTAATATATAATACATTAGATTTAAGTGAAAGCGTATCTGCATGAATCAAAATCTGCTCATCTTTCACCTCAGAATCATAATAAAGAAATGTATATTTATATTTTACATGAAGAAAATGAAACCTATTTTTAGGACCTATGTATGTATTTATTTATAATATAAATGTGAAAGAGTGAAAGAGTATCTGCGTAAATCTTACAAAATCTGCTCATAATTACACCCTAAAATCATAATAACAAAAAACATATATTTATATTTTATATGAAGAAAATGAAATCTATTTTTAGGACCATTATTTATTTAGCATTGTGTCATTTTTCAAAATAATTAACTGCATTTTACCCCAAATGTACTCTATTGTAATGTGAAAAGCATAATAATATATAATTTTAATTGTAAAATATTTATAAATCATAGTAGGATTTGTTTTTTATTGTTTGAATAAAAAAAAAAATACAATACACCAGTGAGAATCTATTAAGAATTACAAATAAACTCAAAAGTAAAGTATCCAAATGCATAACAGTGAGAATTTGGACTGAAAATGGGCTTAAAAATAATCACAATGCAAACCTTAGTGCTTTTGTTGATGATTTATATTCCAGCATCGGCACAGACGCAACCTGTTTCAATATTCAGAGCGACACGGAGGGAGTGAGACCTTGACTCTGTCCACTCGATGAGTTCAGCATTAAAACACTAACATTTCAGCAACATCACAAAACAAATCCATTATTTAACAGAGCCTCTGTTCTTCCGAGTGATTCATCACCTTCATTCTGCAGTCATTCAGCTCATGAATGCAGCTCTCAGTTAAAAACCGGTGCAGAGGGAATACAAATATTTAGTGCACAAGTAAGCACAATCACAGAAGTGTTGAATTGAAGACTTGCTGAAGTTCTCCTGCTTCTCGGATGTTGCTCGTGAGAAAAAGACCCCAGTAATCTCATGTTTCTGCTCTAGAAGAAATCACAGCAGGTCTCAAACGGCTCAGATTTACTAAGATACAAATGTTTGCAAACAAAAGTCTCTGTCTGTGCATCCATCCATGTCACAAGATTTCTCAGTTGTTTCTGTACTGAAAAAAGGGTAATTTATTTAAAGTGGATTTTTACATTGGTCTAATCAAAAATCATGGTTTAAACGGTTTAAACCTGTTTTGTTTAGTTTGCTAAAAAAAAAAAAAAAAAATTAACTAACAGAAAATATTATTCATATTTTTTTAAAAAAAGAAAAAAAAAGAAACCACATTAAAAATCACAATAAACATTAAGGTATTTCAAAGTTGTGTTTATTTATAAGTAAATTAAACATTACATTTAATTAATTTAATTCATTAAAATGTAACTTTTCACTGCAGAAATTATTTTCTTTGTATTGTTGTCTTGTTTTCTATTAAAATATCTAATAATTCTTAAATCAAGATACATTGGGGTAAAAAAAGAAAAGAAAATAGTTTTCCCTTTGAATTAAGTTTATTTTTCCGAACCCACTGACAGATATTGTTTTCTCGTTTTAAGCAAAAACTTACTTAATCTTAAACTTTTTTTTTTATATCGTTTTGAATTGATAATGTGTAGATATTTGTACTGGAAAACTTTTTTTTTTTTTTGTGGTGTGTTTATGGTTATATTAATATTATAATATGAATATAATATGTATTAAATCTGACAGTTTTGCTTTTGTATAAAGAACATATATTGATTATAGTGTGGTATATGGTATACTTTGTATGTTTTTGTCTTTGTGGGAAAAAAAAGTAGATTTTTAAGTGAACTGTAATCGAGAACTTTCCTTAGTATTGTGATCTGAGCAATACTGTTCCTCTGCTCTGTGTTTGTTGACAGGGTTGAGGAGAGCTTTAAGACTCTGTTCTGGTCTATATTCGGTCTGTCGGAGGTGATTTCTGTGGTTCTGAAGTATGATCACAAGTTCATCGAGAACATTGGTTACGTTTTATACGGGGTTTATAACGTTAAAAAAAAAAAAAAAAAACATATCTAAACCTCCTTAAAGCAAATGATTGAATGAATGAAGCGAAGCAAATTATATACATACATATATATATATATATAATGATAGTTGCAGTTCCCTCTGCAAAGGATAATATATATATATATATATATATATTTTTTTTTTAATAATTACAAATAAAATTAAAGAGAAAAATACTTTTCAAATTAAAACAATGAGAAAAACTCTTGAACACTAAAAATATATTTTATTTGATATTTTATATAAAATTGTTCATTATTTGTTTACCTGCATATCAACATAGCATCAGAGAACTGTGCACCTGTAAAGAAATGTTAACTTTAAAATCTCAGATGTACTTTAACTAACCTATTTGTTATTTACTGCAAAAAATACTGATTCTAAATCTTTCTGAAGTCTATCTAAACCTCCTTAAAGCAAGATAAATGTACCTGACAGTTATACTTATACTATATATATATGACAATCTGTTAGATTACACATTTTACGTAATATATTCAATTTGATTACTTTTAGGTTACTTTTGACCTTACTCGCTTATCTGGTTTATTATTTTGTACCATATTGATATAAAATATGAAGAGAAAGAAAATATTTTCCATTCTTTGTCATCAATGGCATGAAGTGCATTACACATTACTTTGAAATCAGGATTTGTGAGTTGATAAATCTCTCGATCTCTGCAGGAAGACGCTGATGTGGAGTGGAAGTTTGCTCGTGCTAAACTCTGGTTGTCATATTTCGATGAGGGAAGGACGCTGCCTGCCCCGTTTAACCTGGTGCCCACTCCAAAATCCTTCTACTACCTGATCATCCGGATCAAGTCCTGCCTTATACGAATGTGTAAGGGCAAAGGTCATCGGCATGACAACGAGCTGGAGATGGGAATGCTCAATTCACGGCCGAAGGTAAAACACATACTGCACACTAAAAGTGTCAACTTTTATATTATTTTGAACATCATTTAAGTTCCTCATGCACTGTAGATGTAATTTTGTATTTAAACGTGTGCCGGTTTAATCTGTCTCACAGCAGATCTGAATGTCTCGTCTGATTTCCTGATGTCTCAGTTCTCTCTCGTCTGCAGTTTTGTGTCTTCAAAACTGATTTGCAGCTGCAGACGGACAGAAAGACTTTGATTAAGATCTTTTAAATGGAAATGATCCTGACAGTGAGACTCAATCAAGTGTCATTTAAAGTGTCGCTGCATTTCAGAAGCTCACAGAACATTTCTAAAGAGAACTAAGGCTGAAAACGGAATAGAATTTACTAAAACAGAATGAAAAAATGTGTAATTTGATATATCATAAATATAAATAATACATAATGTATATAAATAATAAATAATTGAAGTTGTACAAATAAGTGTAATATATATATAGAGAGAGAGGTAGAGAGAGAAATATAATAAATCTTTACTTAATATCCTAATGATTTTTGGCATAAAAGAAAAATTTTGATCCACACAATGTATTTTTGGCTATTGCTACAAATATACCCCAGCGACTTGAGACTGGTTTTGTGGTCCAGGGTCACATATTATGATTATGAACATGATTTTTGTAGTATTGTGATGTAGTTATTTTTGTTGAAAATTTAATGCAAAAAAAAGGGTTTATATGCATATTACATAACCAGGTGGTAATGCCTATTTTTACCTTTAATTAATACCTTACAAATGAAGTGTACTTCATCTCTTTTGATCGTTTTCTCCTTTTATTTGGAATGTAATGTGCATAAAACCAATAAATCAGCTTATTCATAACTAATGAATGATCACCACACAATCAGTTTCACATTACGAAGACTCAAAGCAGTAATGCATTATAAATATGATTAGATTCTATTGTAAAATCATGTCAGTTGAATTAGAGAATGTTGAATATTGGCATTTTTTCAGACTGATCGTCATCGAGCAAATCTCAGGAGCCGAGAGGAGAACACCATCAAGAAACCCATCAAAAACCCCACAAGATATCAGGTGAGAGACTCAACCAACCATATGAAACTGAAGAGAGTTCATTATGATCTCTGTATGCAGTCAGTTTGAACGGACAAGCTCTTTCGCCCTCATTTCTGTCTGTCTTTCTTTCCAACAGAAGATAATGAAGCGCTTGATTAAGCGCTATGTTTTGAAGGCTCAGGTTGACAGAGAGAATGATGAAGTCAATGAAGGTACAAACCCAGTAAATTTACTGTAGTCTCTTATATTTCACCCCAGACGGTCAGCTCAAATCATGTGTCTTGTAAAAATCTGCTTATCTACAGTATGAGTAACTCAAGCCCTGTGTGTTACAGGTGAACTGAAGGAAATAAAACAGGACATCTCCAGTCTGCGCTACGAACTTCTGGAAGAGAAATCTCAGGCCACTGGAGAACTGGCTGACCTCATTCAACAACTCAGCGACAAGTTCGGCAGGAACGCCAAGAAACAACCTTGAGACAGACAGACAGACCGAGAGAGAGAGAGAGAGACGGTAGTTTAGGAGCAGTATCTGGACACTTAAGACTCTTAAAAAATGTCTGAATGTCATTCATTAGATACAAAATGCATACAAAAGATGCACATGTACACTTTACAAGCAAAACAGCTGACAGACAGGTGTTTGTGCGGTTTGAGATGATAAAACAGTAGATCTAGTGTTAAAAATGAAGACAGATTGTGTTTGTTTGTTTGTTAGTGGTTAGTGGATGGTGGTGCTAGTTAATGAGATTATCTAAAATCTGTGTGAATTCTTCTATGGAATAAAAAAAATGTTATCTCACAATTCAGGCTTTTCTGTTGCAATTCTGAAATGAACTAAAGTCATAAATTAATTGAAAATGTTTTTTTGTTTTTTTTAGAATTGTGGGCAATTCTACTTGCAATTCTGAGAAGAAAAGTCTGAATTGTGAGATATAAACTGGTAATTGCAAGAAAAAAAGTTTGAATTATATTCTTACAATTGCGAGATATAAACGACCTATTCTGAGAAGAAAAGTCTAAATTATAAGATATAAGCTACCAATTCTGAGAAGTCATGTCTGAATTGTGAGATATAAGCTATATCAATTGTGAGAAAAAAGTCTGAATTATGAGATTCTCCCAATTGTGAGATATAAGCTCCCTATTTTGAGAAGAAAAGTCTGAATTATGACATATAAAGTCGCAATTACTATATGTTTTTATTCCATGGTGGAAACAAGCTTTACTTTTTTCCTGCACAATTGTGAGTTTTGAGTCTCACAATTCGGACTTTTCTTCTCAGAATTGCGACTTAACATCTCAAGCTTATATCTTGCAATTCTTTAAAACATAAAAACATCATAATTATGAGATAAAAAGTTGCAATTACCTTTTTTTTTTTTTTATTTACTTATTGCTATTCTGTCAAGCTTCCATAGAACTGACTTCATACATCCACTGAACATCACCAAAACACCAGCTGAGAATAAAGAAAATGAACATTAGTGAAAAGATCCTAGATGCACTGATACAGACACACATGATCTAATGAATCACATTCAGACATTTGTAATGATCAAAATGAGTTATCTCAGAGCTGGTTGGTTTGATTCAACTCTTTTCTGGAGGAAATGAGTGAACAGGACTGTGATCCGTGAATGATGAACTGATGTGAATTCACTCAGATACTGAACAACTTCCAGGAGAGAGAGTGAGAGATGAGAAAAACTGAGAGGAGAGACAAACGGAGACTACGAGGGTAAAAGGCTCACAGCAGGTATGCAGTGCATTCTGGGACATCGCCTCCCTTAAGAGTCATTTCCTGTTCTGAGATCATATCTCACAAGAGAGAAACATACAGAGAAAAGGAGAAGAATAGATAAAAACACTGTGATGTTGACAGTTATGGTATGATTTAATATAAAACTATTTTAAACAGTTAATTATGAGTCAGATGCGCAGTAACAGTGAGAAGGTGCATAAACATTTCCTCTTCTTCACACCGTACAGGCTGTCTAATTAACACAAGAACACACACACACACACACACACACACACACACACAGAGAGAGAGAGTGAGAAAAATTATATATATATATATATATATATACAGGTATATTTATTTTTTTTTATTTTTTTGCACAAAATTAGCTTATTTTTAGAAACTTTGTGGCAAGATTTGTGGCATTATATTCATGACATTTGAGCACATTTCCCTTTAAATTCTCATTACTTTAATGCACCTGGAGCATTTTAATATATCTTAATTTGAATTAATTAATTTGTTTTAATTTAATATATTTTACATTTTAATATGCAAAATAGGATTTCATATATTTTCTTTTGATTTTGGTTTATGGCACCTGGACATTTTAATTTAAAGCTTTTTAATATATTTAAATTAATATACATATTAATATATTTTAATTTAATATGTTTTACATGTTAATGCACAAAATATGATTTAATTTGTTTTTTCTTTTGATTTTGATGTATGGCAAATGACCCAGACATGTTCTTGTCAGGTTTTGTGAGATTCACCCAAACACACACGCACACACACACACATGCATGTTACAGTATTTGTGGGCTTTTATTGAAGACTTTGCCTGTATAAATCACTTGCTCAAACAGACTAAAGTCATTTTTCATAGAAACTGAGTGTGAGAGACAAGAGAGTGTTTACATGACATGTACACTTTTAATAGTTTTACAGTAAGACTTTAGATTTATCTGAATGCATTTTTTGCTTCAGTAATGGTAAATAAATTAAATACACCGATATTCAGAATGTGTATTTTTCACTTGTACATGGAGAAACACGACTGAGCAACATAATTGTGCTGTTTATAAATTAAAAGTTTTAAATGTTATTAGTTTCACTGGGTATATTTTTTCACATTTTTTATCTGACATTTTTCATACATGTACAGGGAATTTAAAAGATTGTCGCATTAATATTTAATTCTATTCATGAATTATTGTCATTGTCAATTCTCTTTATATTATTGTCATGCAGAAAACAAATGTCAGCAAAAAAAAAAAAATGTCATGGTCCTAAAAATGGGTGAAAATGTATTCTTATCTTCGTTCTTTTGAGGTGAACTGTGACCTGGAAATGTTTTTGTGATTCGCTTGCGCATTCAGACGTAAAGAGTATTTTTCACCTGTAGAAGGAAAAAGATGTAGGCCTATAATGTGCTATTTATAGCCAAAATTAAAAATTTTAAAATGGGCTCAATTCAGAAATGACCTTTTCATAATTAAACTTTTTAACTGAATTCTCTCTGTGAATATTATCGGAACACGAATGTCAGCTAAATTGAAACATTAAATTTCCCCTGATGCTCATCATATTCAGTGCTTGCAGCTGTAAACAGTACATCAGAATCTGCAGACGCGCTGATAAGAAACTTGATTACACAAACGAGCACTAAACAGAAATAAATGTAGTTTTCCTCAGGAGGATATGACATAAAACATTAATATTACATAAATGAGCTTCAGGGGGTTGTGGTTATTTCCCCGTCCCATTGTGACACTATCCAACAATTTCCATTATAACCCGTAGGATGAGGTCGTGCTCGTCTCCACGGTAACATCCACATTCCATTAGTGTCACCGCTCAACATATAATGAGCCTTTCTGTAATATTTGCCATGCGTGAAGACGATGTCTTCAAAAAGCCATCGCTTGACACCTGCGACAGGTATTTTATCAGACTGGCAGATCATCTGTGCCAGAAGATATTTACATTGCGGCTGCTGGCTGTATAAATGACAGAATAACAAGCAAAGTGTCTCAGGGGTAATGGTAACCATGGAATCTACTGCCAGAGCTTGAGCTGATGGTGACCGGGACTGGGAAATCAAGCCATTGTTTTGTTCATCTGACAAGATATGGCGCACACTCACAGTCTCACAGGATGTGTTCGGTGTGTCCGATTGTGTGATTCAAATCATGATGTGACTGTCTGTTTTCAGGGTGGATAAACTAAATATATACTAAATATACTGTTTCTAAATATATAACTAAACTAAATATACTGTTTCACAGTGTTCTCTCTGATTGTTCCGTCACTATGGCATTCCAAGCATTAGTTTGAAGGAACAGTAATCCTTTGATTTAATTAAATGTAAACACATTGATATTCCTCATGCTTCATGTTCTATTTGTTGTTAATTCAACTTCAGCTGCTTACAGTCAACATGAAACGCTCGCTGCGTCCGAAATCTATACTTCCCTACTATATAGCCTAATATGCGAAAAACAGTACGCCAAAAGAGTAGTATGTCCGAATTCACAGTATTCGTAAAAACAGTATGCAAAAAGTACCCGGATGACCTATTACTTCAGCCCAGATCATAAGGTGTGTCCCAAAACGCATACTTATGCACTATTCTATGTAGTATACATTTGTTTTGTAGTATAAATAATGTGAGTAGTGCGTTCACTGAAAATTCCAAAAAGAAAACGTGCATTTTAAATACCCGGATGATGCACTTAAATAACCGAAAAAATGAAGTGTGGAATGTTGGACACTTCATGCACTCAACTAGCAGCTTTAATTATGTAGCGAAGGGGGAGGCGCTATCAGACTCTGATTATGAATGACAAAATAACCTTATATAATTAATTCATTACATGATTGAATACATAGTGCATAAGTACATAGTGTATAAGTGGGTCATTTGGGACGCAGCTTTGGATATAGGTTGATGCCACATTCAACTTCTTCAGACACGTCGACGCGTCCGCCATCTTGGAACGGTCATTGTGTCATCACTCACAATAAAAATCAATGAGTTTCAAGATGCCACAACATTGCGCAGCCTCTGATTGTAGAAACCACCAAAATTTAAATTCCTGAAGAAACTGGATAAACAGGTAAGAATGTGCTGGTTTGTGTTTTTAATATGTATTAACTCAATATTAGAATATTATATAAGGTTAAACTTATGAAAATGGTTTTAAAAAGCACATGGCCGCATAGTTTCATCACTTTACAGTGTGCAATGACCGTCTTTTTGCAGTAACTCACCTGTCATAGTTTAATGAGTGGGTAGATGACATGAAGCGACCCGTGGTTAACTGCATTGAAAACACATGAGCGCACAATTCCTACACTCCTACAGCTCCTGATCGGGGTGAAGTTAGGGGATTTTGTCCACAAAATGATGAGCACACATTATTTTAACATTTTATTTTATTTAACACACAGTATTTTAACTTAATAGGTGCAAGCCATGCTTGTTTTCTTTTGTCATCGTTTATGCAAGGAATACAGCGCCAGACATGGACAGATTTGCTGGAATGCAAAACAAGTACTTTACAGGAATTCCTTAAGCTTATTGCTATTACTGTGGCAACCAACAACAATACAGCTTACCAATACAGCTTTACAGCTCATCGGGACAGAGTGCTTTCATTGCGAGAGCATGAGTCTCACCCTGCTTCGCTCACAGATCGCCTTTTTTCAAGTGAAGAGGTGGTAGCCGCACATCTCTGCCCTCCATTGACCTTGGGATTGAAGGCCCATGTAGCGCACCCATTAAGCCTTGCAGGACTACCTCCGCTTTTGGTTGGCGGGGCTTATTCCGTGGCTGGCCGAGTTTTTCAGGCCAAACTTCTATGCACCATTGACGAGTCCAG